AGAGCTGGTGTCTTCCTCCCCCACCTCTATCACCTCTTCTTCCTTCTCCCCCTCTGCAACACCTTCCTTCTGGACTACCATCTGCTGTCCCTTCTCCATAACTGTTTCCTGTCTTGTCACCATCTCTTCTGTGTCCGCAGTCTCCATCTGTTCCTGCTGCACAGCTGTCCCTTGCTGCGTCTTTGTTTCCACTGCACTTTCAACATATGCAGCCTCCTCCTCCCCATCTTCCTTTACTTCCTTCTTCATCTCCACTCCCTTCTGTGTGGCTGATGACCGCTCCACCTCTTGCGTCTTCACCATCATCTCCTGATTTACCTGCACTCCTGTCTCTTGTTCGCTTTTAAGTGCCGACTCCTCTTCCTCCTCCACTGCTGCCTCTGTGTCCTTCTGCGCCTGCTTCTGATCTGACGTGTCCTGCATCATCTGCACTGCCGTTTCCTGCAGCTGCTCCTTTGCATGATGTTCTTGGACTGCCTCCTCATGCTTCTCTTTCGAGCTCTCTCTAGTAATCTCTGCACTAGTTGTGCCCATCACCATTGAAACTTCCTCGTGCTGACTCCGCACATCACTCTCTTTCTTCTCTTCAATTGTCTGTTCTAGCTGCACATGCTCCTCTCTCATCTCCTCCTCGTAAAACTCGATATCATCTTTGGTCTGCTCAAGGCTACCGTGTTCCTCCAACATTACTTCCTGGTGTTCGAAGTCTAGACTGTAGGTTCCCTCCACCACCTCTGACTTTGGAACTTCCTCCTCTTCCTCAGACACAATCTCTACCTCACTTTGCACAGTCTCTGTTTCTGACGAGGAAGAGGAGGAAGACGAGGAAGAGGAGGACAAGGATGGTAATTCGGGCTTCACAGAGATCACCATCTCCATTCTGGTTATCATACACTTCATATACTTTCTGTATTTCAGCCTGGCGAGATTGAATGTGTGCTTTACAAGACCCCTCCTCTCCTGAAGGCCAGAGATATGTTGGCCTCTAAGACCATGCTGCAACAGCCAGGAAAACGTTTCCCATCTCGATGGGGTTGCAAATAGCCGTAGTCTCGCAAAAGCCCAGGCTTTCTGCTCTAGGTAGTCGCTCGCTGACATTGTAATTGCATCCGATTCCGTCAAAACTGCTTTCCCTGCCAGATTCTTGCACAAGCTGCTCCGGTCATCCGACCAGACAGAACAGGGCAGGACGCTGATCATCAAGTCCCGGACGTAAACATGCACATCGAACACCACTCCAGGTTCGAAATCCCAGTTCCCGAGCTGCTGGAATTTCTCATTGAACCATGCTGGTCCCTCCTCCGCGTTCCTCCCTGTCAACAGGAGGACAATGCTGCTGGAGGCTGAGGTCACCAAACCACCTCCTCTTCTGAGTACCTTGGAAGACAATTGGTTGTGGTCGTCCAGGACGGTGACTGCCAGCTCCAACTGAAGGAGGTCGGCAACACGCCGAGTCTGATGCCTTCGGAATAATTCAAGGGTTCGCAGCAAAACATTCTCGATGCAATGCTGGTCGGCTGAAGATGTCTGTGTGATTAAGCACTCCCTGACAGATCCCCACCGCTGATTGAAAGCCAATTTCATTATCATGTCTGGCAAAAGCCAATGACTGCCAAGTGCTTCCGCCTCTTCCTTACTCAGAGTGCGGAGGGTTTCCAAGAGCGTGCCCGGGGAGCATCTCTCTCTCTCCTTGGCACTTTCTAGCTTTGTCACCAGCCTCTCATGCGCCTGCATCTTGAACACTGCCACCCATTGCTTTCTAGCCGCCAACCCTTCGAATCGAGCCTCCTCCGCATCCGTCCTTTCCTGCCCGTCAACGTGCCGGAGCAACCACCAGTGTTCCAGTTCTGCTCTGGATTTGCACCTGGACCAGAGGTACTTGCCGATATCCCGACCAAGGGGCCCCATTACCTTGTGCATCTTGGTTAGGACCTCCTTCGCGTACTCAGAAGAGTAAGCGTCTTCCTGCAGCAGCCTTTGTCCGAGCTTCGCTCCCCTTTTGCCGCCGAGAATCCGCAAGAACCTAATCAAGCTCTGATCCTCCGCGATACTCAGGGAAAAGAAGAAGGACCATGGTGTGTCAGCGTTGACCTGCCGACCCAGCCCTCCAACCAACTGGCATGCCAAGACCATCCCCTCTTCCCCAGCCGCATTCCGAACCTCCCTTACAAGAACCCTCAAACTTTGCTGGGAAATGGTCCCCCTATGCAGTCCTTCAAGAATTTCTTCGCCCAGTTCGAGAGCATGCGTTCCTCCAAAGAAAGACAGCTGTCCAAGCTGCTGCATTTCCCACATGCACGTTTCGCTACACTTGTAGTACGCGAGTCCCTTGCCTAACCACCGGCACCATCCGATGGTCCTCCACATATCATCCACAAGAAAATCTGCAACGCGTAACCCAACAGGCCCAGCCTGCGCAATGATCGCTCCTATAAGAGCCCTTTCCCTGCATCCCAGCCGATGCGCCTCAACGTAGACATCTCGGGGAATCTCTCTCTTGCGGGACTCCAGCCGCTGTAGCAGTCGATAAGCCAACTTCAGGGTCTTCTGAGCTCCAGAGAGAACCAGCTCATACTCCGGAGAGCAGGCACGTTTTCTTCCTCTTGCAAGGTACTGAAGAAAATCGCTTCCGCTGGTCTCTGCATCTGGCTCCGATTCTGAACCAGCGCAGGCTGCCAAGCCCATAACAGGTATACGACAAAATGTGGCAAACATAGCATCAGTTGTGAATGTCATAACGGAAGGAGACCGATAAATCAAAACAACAACCGCTAGCCCGCTCACAATTGACCCAGCCACAGCATTCAGTCTATAGATACAGCGATAACAACCAGGCATTGCATTCAAGTTAAGACGGTCGCAAACCTCCCAACGGCAAATTGCAGCTGGGGTTACCCCATCCAAGTCAAATGGACACAGTCGGATGGGTTTTTCCATCTGGGGTAAAATTCAACAAACTGACAAGCGGAAAACGGGCAAGCAACTAACGAACGGAATAACCGAATGAAACGACTGAATATATATATAAATAATAAATTATATTATAATAAATAAACAAAATTAAAAATTAACAAAATTAGCAGCCGTACTTTTACCTTATTCAAGTACGTCAAGGCTTGTGCGATGATCTGGGTCCTCGGCAGGCCTAAGCGGCCCCTGCTGCAAATGTGCCCGCCCTAAGTGAAGGCCGGCCTAACAAATCACGAGAGGCCCTAAGCTGTCAAATTCGTATTTGGGGTCCAGGCAGTTTCGTTGCGCCAGTTGGTTGAGGAAACACAGGCGGAGCAGCAAGGAATTCCACGGCCTTCTAGGCTTTTCCGAAAGTGCAGGCCCTGGGCGAGATTCGCAGCCTCATACACAGACAGTTGGGAGGCCCAACTGAATGAGGCCCAGTAGCTGCACCAGAGGCGCAGCATCCTGGGGCCTACCGGAAGCTTCTGGGCCCAGGCCCAGACCAGTCAGGCTGCGAAGGCAGGCAGACTCTTTCCATATAGGAAAGAGCTCGTTGCCTGGAGCCTCACTCACGTACTTGCATGCCTAGTGGCAGCGCTGCTGGAGCGAGCGCTCGCGTGCTGCTACAGGCGCTGAGAGGCAAGGCGTGGGCACGTGCGGTCGTGTGAAGGAGCAGGGCGCTGCTGAGGGAAGCACCATAGCCCAGCCTCCATAGCTGGCTGAGGGCTTAGGTGTACAGTGAGGCGCAGGGGTGGTCTTCGGGTGTACAAAGCGAAGACGTGGGAGTAAAACGAGGGAGAGAGAGAGAGAAGGATGATGATGATGATGTGAGGGCACATACCTGGTATTGGCGATGGTCTGCATGGGCGACATCTTCAAGTACTTCGGAGGCTGCTGACGTCAACAGTTGCATTGTCAATTAGTAGGCTAGTAGTAGCTGTGTAGGGAGTAGGCTGGGCGCCGAGCGCCAAGTAGGGAGATAGGGACTGGATACATATGTTGGTGGTGGCGAGAGCAAGCTCTCATTGACATTGGTTTTCAGTGCTACGATTCTCCATTGGTGTCATATTGGTGCAATGCTGCTTTCTGAACACTGTGAAACGATCTGGCTTTCAAATTTCAATGTGATCGTGGAAATCTGAATATTGTCATCTCGCTATTGCTCATTTTCCTTGCACTTGCTTGCAAATTTGACTATTCATTATTGCAATAGTTATACTAATGGGAATAGCACAAGGGGGGCAGGAGGGCAGGAGAAGGTGGCAGAAAGCAAAACAACCTAAAGGCTAAAGATGATATATCACAAACGGAAAAAAATCTTCAACAAGACTTCAACAAGTGCGTTTTTTTTTTCTTTTCTTTTTTAATAGAAAACTTTGAGACATGGGCACCACTAATAAGGAGGTGATAATAGAAGTCTGCTGACATGGCTCACGTGTAGAAAAAAACTACGACAATTTTACATAACAAATTAAACAATATTGAAAATATTGCACTGTGACATTCATGCCACCTACCTCTCTCAGTCCCGTCCCTGCTGCCATGTCTTTTCAAATGCTGAAGCAGCCAGCTGCCGACGTCAGAAGGGAGAGTATTCCACAGGGGAGAGGTGGTGGGTGTCCTTGGGGGTGTGGGCTCTGCAGAGTGCTGCTTGAGTGTTTGTTCATAGTCATCCCAGAACTGGACATCTTCCAAGAATTGTGTGCCCAGCGCCAGTCCCTTATATCCCGCCAATTCGAACAACCTTCCATACGCAAGCCACACTTGCTGAATATTCGACTTCCGATCTCGCTTTTCAAGCAGGTCTTCAACAATCTGAAAAACCAAAAAAAAAGGGAGAAAGGCCGCGTGATCAAATCCATCAGAAAGAAACAAAAAAACAAAAAAAAAGTGAAAACAACAGCACGCAATTGCATCGACCGTTGTAACACAAAAGAGAGTCAGGGTCAACTGGCACTATGTTTGTGCTAATGTTTGTGCTAACTTACGCAAGATGGGCAGTAGTAACCTGGATAGCTTTACGACCGGATCCATGCTAACTTACTAAGCCACAAACATAGCATGAATTGGTGGTGGCTGGGGCAGGTGACACTGCATCCGTGCTCGTGTGACCAGGTTGGCAGGCCAGTAACCTGGTCGGTTCTTATGGCCACATTCATGCTACAACTCGCTTAGCAGAAACGTAGAGCACCCGCAGAATCTGCCTCTCAAAGTACTGTCGATCTACTTCTTATCCCGTGCTAACGGACATAGCACAAACACGCTCACTTTCATGACGATCTACTTCTTGTCCCGTGCTAACGGACATACCACAAGCATGCTAACTGACATAGCACAAGCACAATCACAGGACCAGCGGGCACAAACATGCCAACTCACATAGCACAAGCATAGCACCAGTGGGCCCTGGCCAATCACCTGGGACAAACATAGCACAATCATAGCACCAGTGGGCCCTGGCCAATCACCTGGGACAAACATAGCACAAGCATAGCATCAGTGGGCACATAGCACAAGCATAGCATCAGTGGGCACATAGCACAAGCATAGCACCAGTGGGCCTAGGCCAATCACCTGGTACTAGCATCAGTGGGGGTCACATAGCACAAGCATAGCACCACTGGGCCCTGGCCAATCACCTGGGGCCAACACAGAGCAAAGCATTAACAGCAAGTCCAGTCAACCACATACACTATATATCGTCTTCCCCGAAGACAACAAACCCTTATCATGAACATATACAAGCTATCTTTCTAGTCCGATACAGTCAAGATCAGGGTGTGTTCTGTCCGGAAGAGGGGGTGGAAGATGGTAGCCATATTCCATCTTCAAGTGCATAATCCTGGTCTGACCCCGCCTCTTCCGGAAGAAGGGAAGGAAGAGGGGGGTTCAGACAAGGCCACTTTTCTGTTCTATCCTCGAGTGTTACTTATTTTAGCGTATCTGTATCCGGCCTGAATACAGGAGACGTAACGACCCAGCATTCGACCTGTGAGATAGGAGACAGATTCTCAACCCAAATGGGATCAGGTACCGTCTTGTGTGGGTTCGAATGGAAAATGCCCTTTTACAGGGTTACTCGAAAAAGGGGTTGGGTAGTTTTAAAAGGGGTGTGGGCAAGTGTTCAGCCAAATACCCTTGAAAAGGGGTGTGGGCGTTCATTCAAAATGTGGTGCTTTAAAAGGTGTACTTTATTGCCAGGAGGGCTCCAGAATGTGAGGGTCAGGCCCGCTATGTTCGTCCTTGGAAAACATGAACTTGGTCATGATGGCGGTCATGTTCATGCTTTGCCAGTATAAACATAGCACCAGTGGAAACTGGCCCTTAGCCTGCCTGAAGTAGAGCCCCTGCCATGTGAATGTGCTGTGTTTTTGCTTGAAAAACATGAACTTGGTCATAATCACGGTCACGTTCGTGCCTTGTCAGTATAAACATAGCACCAGTGGAAACTGGCCCTTAGCCTGCCTGAAGTAGACCCTGCCATGGGAATGCGCCCGCTCCAGCCGCCCACCCCCCCCAAAAAAAGCCCCGGAGCTCATTCAGAAAAGGGTGGACTCTCACTTTGTATGTGTGTCATCCTCGCATAGGGGCCATGCTAATTACCCTTCTCTGTATCGTTCCAAATTTTACTGCATGCTCCCGAGGATGGGACACTCGCACTCTATTCTCTTGGGCAGCATTTGATTTATCATGATGCCGACACAAAAAGAAAAAGTTAAAAACCGTCAACGGCACTTTTGGAACGAACATGCTATGCCTGATCCAACTCTCGCCAATTCCCAACGAGTCCTAACCAATCTTTTATTTTTATTGTTGATTTTTTAATATTTTTCCCGACCAATCTCCATTGTCTTGGATGGAGAGAGAAGTTTGAACCGTCAACAGCTGGACAGTTGCAAGGGTATGGTTGAGGGAAGACAGAAAGACAGAGACACAGAGAGAGTGGGAGGGGAAGCAAAAGAGAGGGAGAGAGGGAGAGAGAAAGGGGGAGCAAGAGAGGCAGAGGGAATGGGGCAGGGGGGAGAGAGAGAGAGAGAGAGAGAGAGAGAGAGAGAGAGAGAGAGAGAGAGAGAGAGAGAGAGAGAGAGAGAGAGAGAGAGAGAGGATGAATACGCGTTTACCTCGAGAGCTGCAGATCCTCCAACTTCACGGAGCTCCTGCCAGATGGCTTTCCTCTTGTTATGCCTCAGCGTCGAATATCCCAAGGACGGGCATACACTCTGAGGGCGCCAAGGCCAGGGCCGCAGCATCGCCAGCTCTACGCCCCGGCGGTCATTCGCATGTCTTTGTTTCTTCCGTCCACAGAGAATCGATTCTACTACCTCCTGTGCTATCGTTGACACCAACTCTACCGACCTCACCCCGCCAAGCTCCATTACCCTGTCGTAGCAATCGTCTGTTTCCTTCGATGGTGCAAGACCATGTCTCTGTGCATCGTGACTCCATCGCTTGACCATCTGCATTGTCTCTTCGAGGCACTCGGGACCTGCGATCGCCAGCAGTTCATACGCGCATGCGCGGTTCTTGCTGCTGAGCGTCATCAACCATTTCTGCACTTTCGTCTTCGACTCCGTGACAACTGTACGTCTTGTGCGATCGAAAGCACCACCGCCTTTCTCACTAGCATCTGATCTTTCGCCGCTGGACTCACTGACAGCAGGGTCCCTTCTTCCTCCCAAGGTATGCCTGTCATGATGATGTCTTTTAAGCCTTCGTTTCGGGGGCAAATTGTCATCAGAGTCAGATGCAGACAAACGCCCGTCCACAGTTTCACTCAAAACTTCCATCACTGCCATTTCCTCCTCTTTATTATATATATATCGTCACAAATAGAACTGCCCGGTAAACCGTAGGCAGAGAGAGAGAAGAGGACAACAAACGAGGGGCTGTGACAAACTGTTTCGTCGGAGTTTCACCGACTCATCAGGAGGCTGAACCTATATATATATTGCGCTCAACTTCCCCGAAGACTGATCTTCGTGCCTGCAAGTTCTGCAGCAATTCGCCGAGGCCAAGGAGATGCAACACAACCACCATCGCAAAGGCCAATCAATCCCCAGATTCATTTGCTTGTTTGGCAATGTTTGCAACTTTTTTCTTTTTTTTGCGCCAAATAGGTCCGTCTTGACAATGCTCCACCAACCACCCGCACCTGACCAAGAAACTCCTAGAGCCATTAGAGCAAACATCCCTACGCTTTTCTGGGGAGCTATCCAAGCCGAGTTGCAAGAACAAAAACAATAACCACCACCACAACAACAACAACAAGCATTCTTGTGACCGATTGTGCAAAGGCATTAGGCATGTTGATCCATTGCCTCTCTGTATAGGAGCACACTAGCCAGTATACAGACAGAGGCATTAGAGCAAACATCCCTCGATGTGTACGCAAATGTGAAGTCGGAGGCCACAAGAACGCAAACGAGCCAGAGTACGGAAGGGATCTTAAACCGCTAGTACATGGCCCCAGCCTTGCAGAAAGTTTTTGTCGCCACAAGCAACACTTGGGAGGCGCCGCGCGGCCAGGCCCACCGTTGAAGGAAAGAATGGGCGGCCTCCGAAGTGGTGCGGGTTTAATGGTGACACCCGTGGGCCGATATGTGGTGTACTGGTGCTTTAAAACCGGATATCCCATGTGCAAAACGAATGAGAACGGATCGAAGCAAATAAACCACAGAATCAAATCTGACCAACTTGAAGATTTCTCTTGTGAGGTCCGCCACACAACACAATTATTAATTATTAGTTATCTTGAGGCTTTCCAAAACTGGAAAGCTGATAAATGACAACATGGATGCACCCTCTGTTTCTTCTTTCCTTCCTTTTTTTGGTTTTGTTTTGAACATCAACTTGGTGTGCCTACCGGAGACATGGATAAGAGCGCTTGCCTGTTGTTTCCCCTGCCTGTTAACCACCACCTCTTGTTCTCCACATATTTTTTTTGTTGTTTAAACATCGACTTGGCACACCTACCGCAGACATTGGAACACAAATGAGATGATGAATTGAACAGAACAGAAAGTACACCGCCACATATCTTAGACGAAAGAAAAGATGAGACCCTATAAAACTTATTATAAAGTCAAAAACAAAAAGAAAACAAAAAAAAAAGAAGTTAGGAAGAAAGAAGATGAAGACAACGAAGAAGAAGACGAAGAAGAGAGGCGAGGACAGGCTCTCGATGACAGGTTAAAGACGTTTGAAGATATCGGGCCTTGCTCCACTATTCATCACATGCACAAACCACAATAATGGCAGTGCATCATTCCATCTTCTAGCGGAAGATTCATTCTCAATTTGCGTGAGTAGGGGAGCGAGGCCCATCCACCCCATCGAAATCAAAGTCCCAAATGGGCCCACCAGTAATCTAGGGATTTTGTTCCACTGCATTAAAAAGAACTGCACGCTGCCGTCTTCCCTGTAATAGGATGCTTGGTCATGGCAGCTGTATTTGGGGCAACTTTCAGTCTCAATACATTGGTATTGATCATACTATTTATTCCGGGTGGTACTGCAGAATCCTGGCCGCTGATGTAGCGCTGCTGATGTAGCAGATCTACGGCCGTACGTCGTCAATGCGGTTTGTTTCTAGTGCAGTGGAGCAATGCCCATTGCGCAGGGTCCTTCCGGCCTACCAGTTTGGAGCCTTTGGATCCATCATAGTCCTGCTGGTTTACCAGTTTGGACTTGCCTACCAGTCTGGACCAGTCATAGTCCAGCTTGTCTACAAGTTCGGACCAGCCGTATTCGCTCTATTTGCAGGATTCTACTATTGGATAGGCAAAATCTCTGGACTTCAATATCCAGAAACCTTAGGTCAAATTCATTTTTGGATTACTTTCTTATGGAAAGGTCCGCCAGAGTTGGAAAATTTGGTCACGTAGATCTTGTATTTTGCCTAAATTTGTCGGTTACTATGCACAAGTTTATAACGGAAAATATTTTGTTGG